GAAGCCTAGGAATTTGCCAGATCCTACTCCGAATGCACACTTTGATGCGTTGAGGTGCAACTTGTGCTTTTTCAGAATTTCAAACATCTCTCCTAGGTCCTTGAGATGGTCATTCTCATCCTTGCTTTTGACCACCATGTCGTCGATGTAAGCCTCCATCGTTCTTCCTAACAATGGTTCAAACATCTTGGTGACCATTCGTTGGAATGTTGCCCCTGCGTTCTTCAGGCCAAAGGGCATGACCTTGTAACAGTATAGTCCTCTTGGAGTTGTAAAGGATGTGACCTCCTGGTCTGGTTCATGCATGGCGATTTGGTGGTAGCCTCTGTATGCATCTAGAAAGCTAAGTCGGTTGTGCTCCGCTGTTAGGTCTACCAGTTGATATATCCGTAGAAGAGGAAAGCTGTCTTTTGGGCACGCCTTGTTGACTGTTTTGTAGTCGACGCAGACACGCCATTTGCCATTCTTCTTTGGTACTACGACCGTGTTGGAGATCCATTTTGGGTAGTGCACCTCTCTAATTGCTCCTGCCTCCAGCAGGTTACCTACTTCTTCTGCCACTATTTCGGCATGGTGAAGTGCCGATCTGCGATTGCGCTGAATGACTGGTCTGGCGGATGGGTGGACATTGAGTTGGTGACAGATGAAGTTTGGATCAATGCCTGCCATGTCGTACGGTGTCCAGGCGAACACTTCGATGTTAGAGGTTAAGAATTCCAAGACCTCTAATCTCTCAATGCTGGACAGCGACGAACCGAGCAAAAAGAACTTATCCGGGTTTTTTTCATCTATTTTTACCTCTACCAAGTCCTCTACTACTTTCTGATCCGCCGCTTTGCCGACATTTGCGAATAGCTCATTACTCTCTGGTTCTTCCACCGAATGAACATATCCTTTGGCAGCGCGGCTGCCATTTACCGTGACGAAGCATTGCTTCGACATGATCTGATCTCCATAGACTTCTTCAATTACACCGGTGTCGTTGGGGAACCGCATTACTTGGTAGTAGGATGACACCACCGATTGCATGGTATGCAGCCATGTTCTGCCCAGGATGATGTGCTAAGTCTGGCATGGAGTTAAATCCAATTAGGGGAGATACAGCAGGTGCTAAGTCTTTGTCTTGTAGCTTCAGTTGTTTAAATGTTTCGTAGTACATGATTTCACATGAACTACCCTGATCAATTAGAATCCGCTTGACGTCAAAATCCTTGACTCGGAGAGTGACGACCAGGGCATCATTGTGAGGGCAATATATTCGTTCTAAGTCTTTATCAGAAAAAGACATGACGTTTTCTGCTTCTATCTTCCCCTTCTTGGTGGCGAGTTAGGCACTTAGCACCTCTCTTAAGTGTTCAGCCTTTTTGATTGATCCTCTGAGCTCGCATACACGCTCAGGTTCAAAGACTCCATGTATCACATTGATAATGCCTTGAGGCGGGGCGTCGATTGGCATCCCATTGGGGTTATTATGGTCCTGGGAGGCTGGTTGCGTTCCTCCTTCGATGTACTTATCCAAATGTCCTGCTGCCACCAACTCCTCTAGGTGATGTCTCAATGGCGTGCAATTCTCAGTGCGGTGTCCCTTTTCTTTATGGAAGGTGCACCGCGATCTTTCGTCGTAGTCTTTCTGTGCTTCTCCTAACTTGGCTGGCCACTTGACGAAAGGCTCATCTCTTATTTCGCTCAGAATCCGATATATTGGTTTCTTGAATACCGTGGTTATAGCAGTGCGGAGTCTCAACCATCTTTTATCCGGGTCTTCTCCGTTATCTCGTTTGCCACGTCCGTTTCTGTTCGGTCGATCTACCGTATTCACCTTCGCTGAGGTCTTCTTTTCTGGTACTGTGGTTGCTCCAGATTTTGCTTTGGCACGTGCACCATTCTCTTCTACCCTGATGTGCTGATGCACTATTTCCATCTAGGCTTCCATGGTGAGGGGTGGTGTCATGGTGATCGAGTCCCTTAGTCTGTTCCCGACTGGAAGGCCTCTTTTATACTGTGCAATGGTGAGATTGGTGGGTCAGTCCCCAATCTGATTGAATGTCTCCCAGTAGTGACTATTGTAGGATCTTAGGGTCTCTTTATCGCCCATGTCGATGGAGAGCAATTCACTACAACAAAAGTGGCCTTTGGTGACAGACTGATTTTGTCTCCAAACATCAAAATTTCGTCACTAAAGTGATCTGTGACGAAAAAAATTTGTCACCATGTTCATGTCCTATACGTCGTCACCTATTTTTCATTTTTGGCGACGAAATGTTTCGTCTCCAAATGTTGAATTTTTCGTCCTCTAAAACACCAATTTCGTCGCCAAAACTAAATAATATTTTATTTTAACTGTTTTTTGCGACGAAATATTTCGTCACCAAATATATTTTAGTGACGAAAGTTTTCCTCACCAATGATATAGATTAAGGTGACAAAAAAATTCGTCACTAAAATGAGCAAAAAAAAAATTTATTCAATGACAACATTTTGTCACCAAATATTTCAATTTAGCGACGAAATATTCAACAAATATGACGAAATTATTTGTTTCGTACTATATCATTAGTGACAAAATTATTCGTCATGTTTTTTGAAAACTAATAGCAACATTTTTTATTTCGTCACTAATAAAAATCAAAAATTTTGAAAATGTAGGTACTATTTTCTTTTGAAATTTTTTCTTTTTAGTAACAATTCCCTGCGCATTTCAATAACCTGTTCAATAAAATATCTATTACAAATCAATACAAAAATCTGTTCATTTTCATAAACATCACAATCGAATTTTAGCACTATCCACAAAAATATAATATGAACTGCATACGGATTATAACACGTCTCCTAATATCCACAAAAAACATGTCTACTAATATCCACAAAAATATAATATCAACCGTATGCAGATTACGAAACACATCTCCTAATATCCAACAAAAAACATGTCTACTAATATTAATAAAAATAAAATATCAAGGGCGGATTAAACACGTCCATATTCTACCATCGGCCCTCCAAATTACCAAACACGTCCATATCAAATCTCGAATCTGCAAAAAAATGAAACACAAAAAAAAAAAATTAGACAATTATTATCTTATCCATAACATATACAATTTAACATGCATTTTTGGACTTAGTTTTCAAACCGGGAGTCCCGTGCTAGTTCCGTAAGTTTTCACAACTCACATTGGTCCATCCCGAGGTGTTTGAGGTGTTCCCCCGGCCATCCCGTGGCTGTTGCACGATTTTGGCACCCAAAGACCTATTTTCAAGCTT